TCCTCCTTCTTGGAGTTCAGATCCTTCACCAGGCCCTCGAGTTGGATGCTTGTACTCAGGGCCCGAGCCACGCAGGCACTGTTGGCAGCCACTAAGTCTTCAGCTGTGCAGGAGGCAGTGTGGTCCCTCCACTCCTCGGTCCAATATTTGTTGTAGACCACCGCCACTACAGCTGTTTCTGGAGGAAGGGCCTCCAACACTTCCCTCACCGGCTCCTCCAAATTTGTGCTCAGAAAGTTGACATCCTTAGAGGGACGAGCCCTCTTCCTCTTCTGCTGCCTCGACACTTGAGCGATTGGCACGGTAGTAAGTGGTGTTGTGGCCAGGACAGTGGCAACCTCAGATGGCGCAGTCCTCTTCTCCGAAATGGCCACCCCGATTGGAATTGTGGTCTGCTTCAGAACGGGGGGTGGCCTCGCCACAATTGGGCATTTTGGAGGGGCGCTCTTCTTGCCCTTCCTCCGTAGATCAGCCTCTGGGTCCTCCAGTACCTCCTCCTCCGTCGGAGGCTGAAGCCTCTTACTGGCGTCCACCAGATCTTCCATTTGCTTCTTGTAGGAGGAGGAGGAGGCCTTCAGTGCCCGTGCCTCTGCCATCATCCTCTGGATGGTCTTAAAGTCGAGGCGCACGGGCATCTTCTTGTTAAAATTGTCTACAAGGAACGAATGAGGAATTAGTACAAGTGTTAAAAGTTCAAAAAAAAGGGTAAAGACTTCGGTCCAGTTACCTTGGAATGCCATCAAGTCGTGTGTAACGAAGTGTATATTCTTTCGGATCAGTCGATGGTATGACCTTTTCTTTTGAGGCAGCTGATAGATGATACAGATAGTTTCGAAGTCTTCGGAAGACAGTTGGCACCGAGGAAGAGTACCTACAAAAGAAATGTAAATATTAGTCACGATTTGAACCGAAGAGAAATATAAAGAAAAGCAACTACTATACTCATTAAGTGTTGAGTATTTTATCGGGACCGTAAGAGGCGCCAGGGGGCCCCCCCTTCATCGTGTCCCATCGCCCAACGGCCCAACACCACGAGCTCTTCCATTCTTTGATGGAGCTCGGCAGATCGAGCATGAATGGAGTGTGGAAACCCCATGAAGTAAGGTAGTACCACCCCTGGGTCTTATCCCCCTCGACAGTTACCTTAGGTATGTAAAGGGTCTGGAAGATGGAGAGGGGCATCTCCACCTCTAGTGACGCCTCTTTCCACAACATCCAGGAGCCTACCATTTGGCTTCAGGAGTTCGGATTGAGTTGCGTTGAGAGCCTACCATTCGGATCTAAGCACCATCCTAAAGAATGGGTGAATTGGCAGCCTAAGTCCGGCACTAAGGATCGCCTTACTAATGGCCACACAACCCGACCTAGGGTAGCAGGCCCTCTCTTCGGGTTCGGGAAGGATCAGATCTATGCTATCCGGGATCCTATACTCTACCCTAAGTCTCTCCAGGTCGGCCTCTCTTAGTTTAAATGAGTAGTCCGACGCCCCCCGGTGCACAGAAGTGTCTGCTGGGCTATCCGATCGCTTCCATATATTTTCCCTCCTATTATCTCCTCGGCTATTTCTGAAAAGGTTGCCGCAATGGGCTCGTCCATCCTCACTAGTTTTAACCCCCTCCCCGAACCAGAACTCCCCTCAGAAGCCATTTTTCAGAAGTTAAAAATCCTAAAAGGTACTGAAACTTACGAGTTTGAAGGTTTTCCTAGCCGAAAATGGTGTAAGGTCGCTGGATGTTGGTATTTCTCGTCGGAATTGCTTAGAGAACGTCAAAAACCACAAATGGCTTGAGAGCAAAGTGTATTGTATGTTTTCACAAAGGTAGAAAACTTGAGAAAAGCTCAAAGTCCGCCTTTTATAGAAAAACCCATCCGATCTCCACCGTTGAATTCAAATGCGATTGATCTAAGCCGTTCGTCACATCTTCAATCTAGGCCGTTGAAATGAAACGCCAAATTTGATCTACGCCCAAGATGTCTCTGTGACCTTCAAGCTCGCTTAAAATGCGTCACCTCGGTCACCACCAGCCATCAATAATAAGTAGCGGCAGCAGCCTTTTAGGAGAATGGGCATGGCACCCAACTGTCACCTTGAAAATACGCAACGGTTGTCAAATCATTTGACGTCTAAATCGCCTCGGATGAGCTTCTCACTTAACTTTACAAAGTTTAGACGCACCTGACGCGAAGTCCCCTGTGGGTTATCGCCTCGGCCGCTGCGTTTCCTCCTAAACTATACAAAGTTTTAGCCATCTCCCAACGCGTTGTCCCCTGTGGGTCAGCACACCGGTGGCAGATGAGCTCCTCATTCAACTTTACAAAGCTTAGACGCACCTGACGCGAAGTCCCCTGTGAGTCATCGCCTCGACCACTGTGTTCCCTCCTTAGCCATCTCCCAACGTGTTGTCCCCTGTGGGTCAGCACACCGATGGCAGATGAGCTCCTCACTCAACTTTACAAAGCTTAAAAGCACCTAACGCGAAGTCCCCTGTGGGTTACCGCCTCGACCGCTGCGTTCCCTCCCAAGCTTTACAAAGTTTTAGCCATCTCCCAACTCGTCGTCCCCTGTGGGTCAGCGCACCGACGGCAGATGAGCTCCTCACTCAATTTTACAAAGCTTAGGCATGCCTGACGCGAGTCCTCTGTGGGTCATAGCCTCGGTCGTCGCGTTGACCTTGTTTCCTACTAATCATCCAGTCTTGCAGCGCTTCGACATCACATCAGTTATTGTTTCCCTTACGCAGTAACGAAGCTTTGGCGCATCTGCCTAAGATCATGGTTTCGGTTACTACAGAAGATCGACCCACAAGCTCCCACGAGTCGCAGTCCCCAGTACCGAGGCATTCACATCCAATTAGGAAAGCAAGTCCACTCATGATATAAATATTCATACCTGGACTTAGGGGATCACTGTTACGCCCCTATCTGAACCGCCTCAGAATGCCCATCACTACACATTCCGACCTGATAGACACCCATCCGAAGTGTTTCTGAAGTGATCTCACCAATGTCGACGACCTGATAGCACACTCAGAGACATAGACGATCCTACTAAACTGACCGAAGCGCCTTCATCCCTGAGGCCGAGGCAAAGTGGACCTCTATCAGAAGATCCGCCACCAATTTCAGAAAGAGATTTTTGCCAAGATCTTCTATGCATCTAAGATTTAAATTGATTTGACGTCTCCATGAGGTTAGTTGATGTGACTTATCAACTTTATGACAACTCAACTCGCGAGAAATAAACTGCCCGCCCACTCTACAAACGCAGCCTATGAGCGGACGCCTCATACCGTCAAATGCATACATGTGTCCCACATCCAACGGTTCATCCCACCTATAAATATTCAAGGTTTAACAAGAGGCAAAGGTAATGAAACTCTTACTACATAGCACTCCATAACAAGTTTATATATTTTCTCCTCCCCCTTATTATTATTTTGCACAACCTCTGGGCACTGTTTTGACCACCTAAACTTGACTTGACCGTCGGAGTGTATACGGCCGCCGCCACCCCCGCTGGTCCCGACCGTGTGCGTCGGACCGTGCGTTGATTGTGCGTAAGGAGGAATACATGGAGTAGCTATTGATTGACCACGTGGAAGATCCGATTTTCGAGGTCAACAAAATTTATAATTAACTCGATTTACAAAATGTCCTTTAAAATCATCTATAAATGAGTCATTAACACAACGAGAAAATAGTTAAAAATCAAATGGTAAATTAAAAAGCTAAATGATGAAAATATTGGAGATGCAATCTTCCACTATAAAAAGTTTGCCTCGGATTAAGACAAAAATTAGAATCGACACTCTTGAAAATTTTAACATTCTCCAATTGAAGTGTCTTTTTGATTGAAATTCTATCGAAAACTTCTCATTTCTTCTTCAAAATAAGTTCACCGACATCACACCCAAAGGTCCAAAAAAGAGGCAAATTCCAGTCAAAATTAATGCAGAAAAATCCTATTGTTGGCAACTTGGAATTAAAACAAAGTTCTCATTTTTGTGGTAAAAAAGTTTAATGTATTTAAAGGATCGGAAAGATACAAAGCTCCGGATCTAAGATAAAGTGATGGGTTAAGAGTTAAAGAATTTTAAGATTTGACTTCATAATTTGTTAGTATTGTAACTATTGTTTAAGTTTATTTTCTTTAATTTCTCGAGTCAATAACTCAAATGGTCACTGAACTTTGCAAAAAGTCTTCATCGAGTCATCAAACTTTAAAATTCACCAAAGTCATCATCGAACTTTACAAACAGTTTTCACAGGGTTAACGAGCTTTAAAAATTATCTCATTTATCATTGAACTTTACAAAAACTTTCCCAATAGTCACTAAGTTTTTGCAAAGTTTGGTGACCCCGTGTAAATTTTTTGACAAACTTAATGATAAATGGAGTGATTTTTGAAGTTCAATGGTCCCGCCCGTGTAAACATTTTACAAAGTTCAGTGATAACTTGGGTGATTTTTAAAGTTCAGTGACCCAGTGAAAACTTTTTGCAAAGTTTAGTGACCATTTGGATTATTAACCCTTAATTTCTCAGACTTTTAAAAAAAATTGTACACATTATCTTGTTTGCGTACTATTTCACTAAGCATATATTAAAAGTAATCGATCACAAATTCCAAAGGGGAGAGTTTCAATTTAATTGCTAATTTTCCTTAAAATTATATAAAACAATAGCTTTATCATGAACTTGCGGATGTCTCGTTCCATGAAACTCACAAGTTAAACGGCTGAACTGGCACAATTTATGAACACGAGCCAAGCTTGACTTGTTCATAGGAACAAGTCAAACTATCTCTATTCGACTAGACCATTTTCGACCCCAATTATTGTAAGGATTATATTGTGTGTACACAATGTTGTACAAACGACTTTACACCCCCCTTATATGAAAGGAATCCATATATAATAAAATATTCATTACTCGCTCCATGTGAGGAGGGTGTAAAACTATGGGTACATCATCTTATTGTAAACCGAGTAAAACCCAACCTTGGGGTAATTCACAAGTGCATAACCTGGGCCCTTTTAAGTCTCGTTGATAGAGCAACAGGACCCCAAGCGGCTAAGGGTTTCCCTTGACATTGCTTTGCAGTGATTTCTCCTCAACTTCTTCATTACCAAACTTGGAAGGTAGTTTCAGATTTATTTGTGCAAACACGGGCTTTATATTTTAATTGTGCACTCGATCTATCTGATTGCTGTGAATGAGTTAGTTTCAACACAACCTCTATGGATCTAAGATTCCGTCCTGCCTTGCAGCCATTCTCATCTTGTAGCTCCTTAGGATTTATTTATTTATTTTTGGAAATTGTTGTTTCTTGATGATCACCTATACAGTTTCTGGCTGAATTAATTAACTGAATGAGGCACATCTACACGCTAATATTGAGTCGTTTCGTCTATTTGGGTCCAAATGATGATTTAGGACCAGATTGGTCAAAATGCGTATGTGTAAGCGCAAATGTATTTGAGTTATGATCGTCTGTCAGGATCTGGGTGAGATATGTTCTGGTTTTCATCTCACAATAGACGATTGCAGAGAAACAGACTTGGTTGTAAAGATATAAGTCAATATAAGTCAATAAGCTTCCCAATCAAAGTAGCATTGGTGATAACCAGTTTTTAGGTAATAATTCTGATTCTAGTTTAAATTAGCGAGAGACGTTCCAAAAGGAATAATGTTTGGACCTAACATGTAGATATTTCCATCTACATTGAGTTGGATCTCACTTTTCAGCGTGTGCTTATGATGTGAGCTATATCTGCTCTATAGGAATTACTACACGTGCTTGCACGTTTAAATTGTTTCTCATGGTTCAGTTTCTGTGAATGTCATAAATATCTTCACCTTCTGTGTAGTTATTGTGATAGATAGTATTGGCATTTCTTTCACCATCTCTTGTTCATAATGATGAAACCCTCGTGCTAAAACGGTGTCTTCTTCTCTTAATTGTGCCAATGCAATTACTAGACAAGCTAGCTCTTATTAGTTGCTTCTTCTACCTGCATGCTTTCTTGTTTAAATAGGTGAGATTTTGAGGCATTGGGACTGGAAGACAGTTTTTAGTATTCACACTCTATATAAGGATACAGTGTAGGATATTTTGGCAAGATAAGATATTTAGAAATGCTAGAGTAGGCACATTCCCTGTGTAATTTCTTCTTAGTTTGATTGTTGTCTTGAGAACCCTTTTTATTGCCCTTGAAATCAACATTATACATTCCTTAATCTTTTGACCATTGCTATCTTACTTTCCACGTGCAAATTCTCTACATAATCCTGAGAAATGTCATACTAATAGCATCATTTCGTCTTTGTCTCCACTTCTAATATCCCTACCCTTTCCCTACTTGACATGGAGTTTGATGAATATAAAGAAGACTTTCAAGCACTTAAAAAATTTCCTATATTTTGACAAGTATGGAATTTGCATAGAAAATACTCCTGGGGAGACGGGGAGTCATAAGCTTCGAAAAACATAACTATGATCTCAGTAAGTGGTTGTTGCCTGGAGGGTCATTGGACTCCTACTTAAATAAATGTGTGGCAAATAGTGGACGAAAAGCAACGATTGCAATCGCTTAACAACAAAAATTTTTGTCTATGTCCGACTCTTACAAATCAGCATTGATTTACCATGTGTACTATATTTCTTCTTTGTTGATTGGCCACACCAGTAAAAATCTTGTTCTGATCTATTTGACTAGCCAATAAATTGAGAAAGTTTGTTGTTTATGCAGATGATTGACGACCAGGACTTGGGCTTCTTTGCCAATTTTCTTGGCATCTTTATATTTGTGCTGGTGATTGCTTATCATTATGTGATGGCTGACCCAAAATACGAGGGCAACTGATGTGCTTCTTTTGGTTTCCATCTGTGCTACGAAGTTGATATTTTCCTTTTTGTTCTAGTTATGACTTATGAGGATGGGATATATATTTGATGTAGCAAGACTTTTCCTGTTACAGTGAATTTAGTCTTTCTGATTATTCATAAATAATATTGGAAGACAGAACTTTGTTTTGGAATTTAACTTGTTATTTATTTATATCAAATTTTTACAAATTTATTCGGATTTCAAGAGTTGATGAGCTACATTTGTGTATGTTAAAAATTAAATCTTGTGTACGCCTAGTGACAATGTGAAGTTACTGTTGTGATCTAAACAAATTATCGTACTATCCTTGCTGAAGTTGAAGTGGACATGGTAGAAAATCGTAACTGGACTATTTTTAGCATGGCTGCCACCTTATTTGCGTAATTGCGTGGTTAAGGAGAGAAGGGTTTTCTGAAAAGTATTAGTTTCAAATGAAAGCAATGGAGCAATACCGTGGAGCGATTCAATTGTGTCCTTTAAGGTAGCGAACATTTTCCATTTCTAATTTCGAATCAAGTAGCATAGCTAGAACCAACAAAACTGCAGGCCAAATTCAATCTGCAAGTGTATGCCAATCTTTTGATCCCGAACTCTGGTTTACTGTGTTTGAATTTGGATTTCACTTGGATCGTTCTGGTTTCCACAGTAAACTCAGTTTGAGCCTCGTTATCTAATCATTCATTAACGAGAGTACACACGTCAATGATTTTTTGACGAAAATACCACATTTTTTGTGTGCATTTGTATAATGACACTGCTCCCATTGATTTTAGTTAATAATTACAGATCATAAAAGAAATCTGTATGTTACACTGATGCACGTTCTTTTTCCCGATTCTCACCAAAGGATCAGGAATGCCATGGATGGTCGATAGAATTTCAACTTAGGACAAGAAATAAGAACCTCATAAAAGTAAGAAGAAATGTAAGTTGGAGTGGAAAGTACAAATTGAGAACGATGGCAGCATACACATAAAACAATAAAGCATTCAATATTGAGCTAATCAACGTCTTCTCACCAACCCCCACAAACACATTTCTACTGAGAAAAGCATGGGATATAAGAGCCCTGATCTCATCTTCAGTTTGCTTCATTCAAGAACAAAAAGAAAATACTATTAATTAACATATAAAAAGGCACGGTGCTGCTTGTACTACCAAAATACCATTGCCTTTTGCATCATGAAGATTGTCATATATATTCATCGGTAATAACATAGTTTTACTTGCATTTACCAAAAGAGTGATGTCTTTAGTTGTAGGAGATATATATGGGGAGGAGCCATTGCAAGAAGATTACACCTTATTTTGTAAGCG